GGGGTTGGCGGGGGAGCGGGGGCGACGAGGATTCCGAACTCACCTGGGTCAAAGAAGGCACGAATCGGAGCAGCAATGCAGCTGTCGTGGCGGAGCAACGCAACTGTTTTTCACGTCGACGCGAAGGTGACACTGCACCGGCCTTTTTTCTGGGGGAGCGACGCAAGGGAAAAGACCCTTGGATCCTTCTGTGGAGCCCGTTTTAACAGTCGCGGACGGCACCGGCAATCGAATCGTCGCCCCCCTTGGCATCGACTCCCACCGCGGCACCAGTTCTCCCCTCACCCGATCGTGGCCCTCAGCCGACGGATCGACGGCCCAGACTTTCCCGGGACTCGAATTGTCGCCCGCTGGGCACCGATTCTCACCGCGGGACCGGTTTTCCCCGCACCCGATCCTGGCCCTTAGCCGACGCATCGACGGCCCAGACTTTCCCGGGATTCGAAATGTCGGTCCCGCGGCACATCCCCCCGAGGCACCGGGTCCCGAAGCCACACCCCGCAGGCCACATTCCCTCGCAGGCCTTCCACAGAAAGTATAAATAGTGTTGTGGGCCCACCATTTCCCATTTCTGCAAGTTCGTCGAGAGCAAAGGAGCGTCGCGGAGGTTCGCAAAGCGTCCGAAGCCGGCGGAGCGCTGACTCACACATCGGAGGCTCACGCAGAACGCAACGGAGATCTCGCTCGCACATCGGAGGTTCGTGCAACATCGGAGCGAAGTTCCGAGCATCCGCATCGAAGGCAGCAGCGGAGGCCTGGGAGAACGGTAAGCCGCAATGAATCAACCACGTGCTGCCACGTGGCATCTCCGCCTATGCAGAGGCCACCGTCGAGTCGAACTCGACAATGGCCCAGGGGCATCGTCGAGTCGGACTCGACAATGGACCGGGTCATCGTCGAGTCGAACTCGACATTGGCCTGTGGTCATCGTCGAGTCGAACTCGACAATGGCCTGTGGTCATTGTCGAATCGAACTCGACAATGGCCTGTGGTCATCGTCGAGTCGAACTCGACAACGGCCTGTGGTCATTGCCGAAACTGGACAATGGCATGTGGTCATCGTCGAGTCGGACTCGACAATGGCCAACCCGCCGCCATCGAGTCGAACTCGACGGCCGGCCAGTAGGGCGTCGTCGAGTCGAAGTCGATAGTGGCCAGTAAGGCGTCGTCGAGTCGAACACGACGGCCGGCAAGCACCAAAGCCTCCGGCCACTATCGAGTCCGACTCGAGGATGACCCCAGGCCATTGTCGAGTTCAACTCGACGATGACCACAGGCCGTTGTCGAGTTCGACTCGACGATGACCACAGGCCGTTGTCGAGTTCGACTCGACGATGACCACAGGCCAATGTCGAGTCCGACTCGACGATGACCCCGGGCCATTGTCGAGTTCGACTTGACGATGACCCCGGGCCATTGTCGAATCGAACTCGACCATGGCCCGGGGTCATCGTTGAGTTCGACTCGACGATGGACCCGGGCCATTGTCGAGTTCGACTCGACAATGCCCTCGTCGAGTTCGACTCGACAATGGCCAGAGTCGTTGTAGCTGGCCGGCTGTCGACTTCGACTCGAAAGTGTGCAGCTGGCCGTCGACGAGACGAGCTCTACGAACTCGACCTTCGGCAAGCGCCAAGGCCTCTGGCCATCCGTCTGAGCTTTGTCAATTGTCCGTCATCGACCTTGTCGCGACGATGGAATTTGTCGTTCTGTGTGTTTTCTCCTTCTGTTTTGGAAATGCGCAATGCCTGGTTGTTGTGTGTAACTGCGATGGCTCCTCAGTGTGTGAGCGAGTTCGACCTTAGCAATGGCTCCCTGTTGTGGTCGTCAATCGTTTGTGTGTGTAGGACATTTACGATGGCTCACCGCTTCGATTACTCGTTCCCTTTGAATGCTAGCGCGAGGTACATTCGAGGTTCAAGGCGGGAGACAACTGTACTTGGGGCCCGTACAGAAGACTTCGACACGGACCCTTGGATGAGCGTTATGCCCTGGCTTGAAAGGCCCTTCGATGCATGGTCCGAATTAGAGTGGGAGAACACAATGAAAGACTGCCCTTGGGCGTCTGATTATCGACTAGCATCCAGCCAGGAATGGGGGACATTCATCTTCCTCGACCACATCCTCGTGACGAAACACACGCCGGTGTTGTCTGCGGCATTTCGTACCCGAGACCTGTCTTTGTCGCTGACTGCGCACAACGTGTCGCGTCCGCTGCGCTTGTGGGGACCATCGATGAAGATGGATTTGCTGGACTGCGCGAAACAGAACCAGTTTCTAGAGAAATATCCCCTTCCTTTCGAGGACAACTTGACGGGGAGTGTGTCGTACTTCTGCGTACATGTTGATCTCTGTCGTTTCGATTTCGCTAGGGTTCTTTGTGTTTCGGTAAGAAATAGAAGTAAGACTTCAGCGGAAGCAAGTATTTACGTGTCCAGGAACGAGCTCATTGTTGACGGGGACTCGATTATATTACCGCATGGTTGGAGGAACAGTAAGTTTGACGTGAAACTGGCGGGGCAGGTTGACATACCCCGGTATTGGAAGGAGGTCGAGGAGTACGTGACGGTCATTAGAGACGCCATTGGTCACACATTAGCCAGATCATGTGGTTTCGTCCGTGCGCGATACGTGTCTTGCTTCTCCGCCACTACAACCTTGTGTAGTCCACAGCTCCTTACGTACGGTTCATCCCTGAGCGCAGTGTACGGTTTCGGGGCGAAAGGATAGTCGAGGTCGTGGGGGAGGTCATGGGAGATGAACAGTGTAGGACATGTCAGCTATTCAACTGTTCAACAAAAGTGACAACTGAGACTGTGTATGCGTGCGAGCATTGAGTTTGATGTGAGCTTGTCGATGCCGGTTACACCTCTCTCTCTCTTTCTCTCTCCTTATGTGTGTGTGTGTGTGTGGTTGGTAATCGGTGGAGCGTACTGTTAGTCGCTCGTTGCGGGTGCCAGTTGCCTGCCTTGCCAGTTGAATGCATCGAATTGATAATGGATGTAGGCTTCCAATTGATGTGCCTTGATTGGTGTGCCTTGTTGGTGACGCCGCTCCCTATTCAGCGAAAGATGAACAGTGTGAGAAATGTGGGTTGTTCAGCAAGAGTGTGAACTGAGATTGTGTGTGTTATGGAAGCAATGGGTTTGATGTGAAATTGTCGATGCCGGCTTTCGATTCGTCTGCCTTGTTTGATGTGACGTTTAGGTACGCCGCTCCCGTGTTTTGTTTGCCTGCTGTTGGATACGTCGTCCCTTCCCCGAGTTCTGTTTGCGAGCCCGATCGAGTCGAACTGTCAAGCTGGCCCGCCACGTTCGAGTCGAACTCGATCGAGTCGACCTCCATCGAGTCGACCTCGATCGACTCGACCTCGATCGACTCGAACACGATCGAGTCGAACACGATCGAGTCGAACACGATCGAGTGGAACACGATGGAGTCGAACACGATCGCCTGGACTCGCGATCGGATCGAAAACGATCGCTTGGACTCACGATCACCTGGACTCACGCTCGAGTCGAACACGATCGCCTGGACTCGCGATCGAGTCGGACACGTTCACCAGGACTCGTGATCGACTCGAACACGATCGACTCGAACACGATCGACTCGAACACGATCGAGTGGAACATGATCGAGTGGAACACGATCGAGTCGAACACGATCGCCTGGACTCACGATCGGATCAAACACGATCGCCTGGACTCACGTTCGAGTTGAACACGATCGCCTGAACTCGCGATCGAGTCGAACACGATCGCCAGGACTCACGATCGAGTCGAACGCGATCGATTCGAACACGATCGAGTCGAACACGATCGCCTGGACTCACGATCGCCTGGAGTCACGTTCGAGTCGAGAACGACCGTGTTAAATACGACGCGCACACGAGCGCCTGGACTTACGGTCGAGTTCAGGCGAGCTCAGCAACCGCGATCGAGTCGAACACGATCGAGCTGGCCTGTCACGCTCGCGACGAACAAGATCGTATTGACCATGGGCAGGATCACGATCGAATTGAGCACGATCGGGGCTGCCTTGTCACGAAGGAGTTGCGCTGCCTTATCACTATCTGAAATTTTTCTGCTCCTCGTGCCATGCCAACGTTGTGCGGCCTTCTGATTTTTTGCTTCATGGTGATGTGTTGTGTTGCTGATTCGACACCACTGCAAAACATGGAAGGAGAGGGGAAGGCAAGCAAACGACGAGAAAGTAAGAATTATGGGAGCATGGAGCAATCTCCGAAAAAATCGAAGGGGACGCCGGCCGCTGGGGTCTAAGTGGCAACGCACCCCGGTTCCGAGGGGTTCACCTTCCACGGGCACTCCGTCGACTGATGTTCGGGGCTCAGGACCAGATAAGGCTGTGTTGATGACTAGCGGGCCTGCGGGTCAGGAACGTGTGCCTGGTCAGCAGCAGGGGAGATCTGCAGTGGAGGTTATGCCCAAACGTAAGTCGTCTAGAGAACGTAAACCGTCTGGAGAGCGTAAACCGTCTGGTGAAACGACTGCCGCGGGTCGGCGAGACGATGTGCCCGTGATTGACCACAAGGACAGGTTCTGGATGCTGGACTGGGTGGGGGAGACCGGACAACCATCGAGTGGCCTTATTCTATACGTGGTCATCAAAGACAATATTGTGCCGGTTGGCGGCCTGGTGAGGTGGACTGGACAAAATGTGTCGTCTGCAACTTTCGAATTGACGATGGTCCTGAATGGAAGAGGGGAAAGAATACCAAACATTAAACACGTCGCTCTTCAATGGGCCAACCACGCGGGGTTCGGAAAGTCGCTGGTTGATGTGTTCAACCCACCAGGGACATTGGAAGTGAAGTTGCCTAACCTCATTGACGTCCTCGGGTTTTTCGACAGTAATGTGATCGCGGGCAGAGAGCCGGTTGTGCATCCAGAGGACCGCATATCAGAGCCTAAATGCGTGCTTTCGAAACCCGTGGAGAAAGGGCTTTCGATCACGATCCGCGATACGCCGCCTGGTCCGAGAGCTGGGCAGATCGGAGAGAAGGATCCGTGCCGCGGACTGGTCGTACCGTCAGCCCCTTTGAAAACCAGGCCAACGGCGACCAAAGCACCAGTTGCCTTGGGAAGCCGATCGCGCTATGATGTGACCACCAAGGGATATCTCCCCTTGGTGGGCCAGCAGCGCTATGACTACACTGTGCCAAGCCGTGCAGAGGAACCCCATGAGTATTTTGAAGATGAGGATGAAGAGAACAACGAGGAATATTCGGAACGAGCAGGAGGACAGGAACAGTATGTTGCGGGTGGCGGCGGCATGATGAGGCATCAAGGAGAGACAAGTAAAGTTGATGGACAGGATGAAGACAGTGAGCACACTATGAGCGAATTGGGTGGTGAGTTTGGTCTGGCAGGAGGATATGGGAGCAGCTACGAAGGATGTGAGGGGGATGTGCACGCGACAGTGGCTGTGGCTGGGCATACAGATGCTGCAAGGCTCGCTGAGCGAAAGAGGAAGCACAGGCGGGAGAGGAAAAGTCTTATGGATAGTAAACGGAGTAGGCAAGAAGCGGGTGAAAAAAAACAATTGAAAATAATGCCCGTGGATGAGGCGGTCCAGAGAACACGGGAGACTGAGGCAGACGCGAAGAAAAAGCAGCAGCCAAAGAAAAGAAAGGCAAAAGGTGGTGTCATGGAAAAGACTTTCGTTTTTCCAGCGGAACAACCACAATCGGATGAAGAGGCCAAAGGCAAGACAGTTACTAGGCCGCCAAGTTTGAGAAATGTGCCATCAGCAACTTCTTCTGGTGTTCTCAGCAAAGGCTTCTTCCTTGAGTTGGACGAGCGTGGGAACCAATGTCCAGACATGGAATTCATTTATGTCTAGTTCGACCGAATTCTAGATATCCCCGACGGGGAATTCAGATACAATCAACGCTATCTTGTGCAGCAGATGGTTGACGACATTTATGATGCAATGGTTTAATCGGGTGAGGCTGCTATGAGAGAGAGAATGACTGGAGCTGCCGGTGTGAATGTTTGTACATTGTATGAGAAGCGTGTCCTTTTGTTGGTTGCCCTCTGTGATACATTGCATACTGACGCTTCAGGGAGGATTGTGAGAGCAAGGAGGGTGCTGCCCGATGATTTCGACCTCGAATCTGTGAACAAGTACTACTATTACCCTCTCAGCGGTCAGCATAACGTGGTGGTGGCAATAAGGTGTTTTGTTGAACGCCCTGACATCGCACAAGAGCTCCGATTGGATCGCTGGACTGCAAGGCCTGTTTATTATCCGGATAAGAGCATGGACAATTACGGCACGCTGAGCACTTTCCAGAACGCCAAGGACAAATGGAATACCCCACCGCACAAGATCGTGGTTATCCAGAACATACGGAAGTTGTGGCACGAGTCGAACTGTCCTGAAGCTAAAGGCGGCTCAGCGGCAGAAGTGAAAAATGCAGAGTATAGAAAGTTTGCAGGAGAGGCTTTTCGTTTGACCGGGATTTGTAATTTGATTGACATGTCCCTTACTACTCAATGGAACGGCCAGTGGTCTGACGCCCTCGAGCCCTACATGTTGTTGGCAAGGGCGACAGATGACATTTTCGAAAAGGTGAAACAAGTGTACGCCGCTTGGGAAGCTGGACAATTGTCGAGGAGAGATGTTGTGAAGCCTACTACCAAACAAGGTGAAGCAGGGAAGGCACCGAGGGCTGGATCCGGATTTGAGTTGAAAGGTGGAGTTAGGTATCCGGTTCACTGGGTTCAGGGTACCAAAGGATCTGGTTACCTCGTGGCTGTGCACGATCCGGATATCAGAGCGTGGAAACCTTTTTCAGCGCTTGGGAGGCGTGAGCGGGTGCAACTGTTGTGAGACATTCTCACAGGCAGTGTGGTACTGACTCCTAAGCGAAGTGGAGCTGCTGAACGTGCCGGGAAACATTCAACGAAAACATATGTGGAAATGGTGAAGATTGGAAGAGCAATGTTGAGGATGTTTCACTACTTCGTCTTCATTTCTGACCCTCACAGGAAGTCGTCAGAGTGAACAGAACCATTCTTCAACGACCTTTCCGATTTGATTGATAAGTACTTTGATGAAGGATTGACGTCCGAGAGGTGGATCAACCAGCGTCGCCATTTCAAAGACATGAGTTGGGTGCGAATGTTCCCGGCTACACTTGGAGGAGAGGAGGAAAAAGGAGAAGAGGGCTTCAAGAAAACAGCGTCACTTTTGTCAACAAGTTATTGCGCAGATCAGAAACCAGGGGTTCGAAAAGCATACGAATGTCGGGCTCGGCGCAATATATACATTTCAAAAGACAGAACGTGAACTCTGTTTTCGTCCCATTCCAATGGGAACCAAGCGATATTTCAGACAAGATGGATTCCAAGGAAATATACAGAGTCGTCAAACATCTGAGTTGCCATACGACTGTGCTGGATTTGTGTCACCCAACCCAGATAGGGGTGTGGACTGAAGAAGTCTTTGATGGTCTGCGGAAATTCATGGGAAAACTGGCTGGTGATTATTGGACATTATTGTGCTTCGTTCCGCGGTCTTGCGAGTACACATTTTTCAAGCGAGTTACAAGTTGGGAGGTTGACATTCACTTGTCTATTCTAAAGTGGACTCGTCAGCAACAAACGAAGGCGAAGCATTTATATAAGGTTGCAAACTTGCCTTTGGAGGACACAGACAGAATGATTGTCATCATGTACTCCAACGATGGGGATGATCACCGCAACTTTATTCCCTTGCTTGAAGACATTCCAACAAGCACTCCAGCTGCAGATCGATCATCTGGCGAGCAGGCGGGTGACTTATCAGCAGGGTTGTCGAGCGCCGACCCCGGGGCCCCGGCGGGGGTCCGAGGGTCCGGGGGTCCGGGGGTGGGCACCCCC